GCCATCCCGCCTCCCTCGGCATTTTGCCCACAGAGACCAGGATGTGTGCAGGAGCACCAGGCTCTGCTCGGCATCACCCTAGGTTAATAATTAGTCAAGCTGATCCAGAGCCCACAACATCTTGCAGGGGTTGGGAGCCCACCTAGGGGCTGACAACTAAGAGCAACAGGTGGGGTAATTTCCATAATTAAAGACCTTCACTTATTTCTGCTGCAAATTATCAATTTAATTGTCAGTACCATAACATGAGATCAAAAGATTTCAACTACTGAGTAACACTCAGCATAAATGCATTCCAATACTTCTCTGGGAATAAAGTACGTGCTACAAAGTAAAACACATTTCCCCGCTAATTGAAAACGTCCCAATAGCTAAACATTAGTAACATTCACGTTTCTTTCGCAGATTATTTGCAGAAAAAAGGACTTTATTCATAAAGCACCATTATGAATTGTTCTTCTCACCCCTATCTGTTCCCACACACATTCCCCCGTCAGCGGAACTCTCTATGCGAACATTTTTTACTTCCTCTCCTTCAACTAATCTTGTGGACTTTGCTGCAGAAGCAACTACCAAAATTACGCCAGTGAGTTGCTTACGTGGTACATTCTTACAAGAAAAAAAGAAAAATGCCAGATGATTGGAAATAAAAATGCACTGCAGAGGAAACAGATTCCAGCAGGGTCTGCTCCGGAAGGCAGGCACTCCGTCCCCACGTGCATGCTTGAAAGGGCAGCCCTTACACAGCTACTCTGTGCCACATAACAGCTACTGTAGCAGGAGATTTAATACTACTAATACAATCTCCTGAACTTTCATATTCTAAAAACATATATCTCAGCCTGCTTTGCCTAGTTTAGTTCCTTTTACACTGGGAAAAATGTTAATGTTAGTGAAAATCAGTTAATAAAAAAAAGTTCTGCAGAGTTCAAATTTAACTCAAGTTTATTCTATTGATCTATTACAGATCAAAAGACCACACCTTTTTTTCTTTTATGAAAATCAAGGTTTACTACTATTATCAAATATAAAAACTAAATGTTTGTTGAGAAATGGGCTTACCYGGAATTTATTCCTGATTTATGAAATAATTTCTGGAAAAGAAAAAAAAAGATAAACTAAGAATTACCCAATGCAATGCCCAATTCATCAATWATTGTCTTTTTAGAGTCAAATCTTTAATCATTAAAAAAAAAATTAAAAGTCTTTGCAAAACCAGGCAGTGAAATCGACCTGGAAAACCCGTCTGCCCCATGCAGCACAGGCCCAGCTTCCAGGAGCGATGGCCGGAGAGCAAGACCACATCCTGGCGGCGATTCCCATCCTCTTTCCCGCCGCCTCATCCCGTGATGCTGCGCTGCACTTGTTTTGGCTCAGAGCCTCGCAGGGAGGGCTCCGATGCAGAATGTGCAGAGGTGACACGACCCGTGTCAGAACACGGTGCTACCYGAGTCTTGGGTCCCCACATCCGAGAACGTCCTGCTACTGGGCAGCACGTGCAGCCTCCATCAACTGCGCTTCCTTCAGACACATCAGATACCTAAAATGAACAAGCATTTACTGCGTGCGCTGCAGGGGAGGGCCCAGAGCCACATTCGCCTCTCACTTCTTACCTGCATTACCATTTCTCTGCGCACAGAACCACCGCACGACATATCCACAGCTCCCCGCTATCCGCACTAGGCTTCGGGAGCTCAAGCAAAACTGTGGAGCTCCGTGGAGAATGCAAAGGGTGTCTTTTAAATATATGTTTTTTAAATATGTGGAAATTGTTGGCAAGGTCATCTGTTGACATAATGTAGATAAAATATTCCAATTGCAGTCAGATTAAGAGTAAAAGCAGAGATGAGACCATCATTTTCTGCCTATGATCACTTTTAAAATGTAACTAGATATCTTATTAGCTACAYGTATTTGCTGACAGAGCTCATGCTCAAGTATCCAACATGACTTTTTTTCCCCTTCCTACCAGGTTATTTTCCATCACTCTTCCCAGGAAATGAGTTATTCTTGTAAATGTAACTAACACTTACTGTTTTCAGACTTTGCTCTAGAAAATACCCAAATCAGAACTTTTTTTAAATTTGTTTTTTAACTCCCARTTTAGCTGGTGATATTTAAATGCACAATGAGAGCATTTTCCTTTAGTTCTCCAATGCTCAAAAGCATCTGTGAGTACCACCCAAAACATGTCTTTAATGCCTAAAATTGTATTTGCTATTTTGCAATGAGATATTTATAAAAAATATATCTACACACACACGTTTCAGCCACAAGGAGCAAGCACAAGTTAATTAAAAGACATAATTTTCATCAGTAAATAAAATTCACAGTAGACAATAAAATACATTTATTTATGCATTCATCCATTTTAACAAATATTACATTGTACAAAATTGTAGTTTAGTAAATCAATTTTTCTAGGTTTGCTTCAACTGTGAATCTTCCAGAGGTTAAGAGGTGGCTGCTACAACCGTAAACTATATCTAATATTTTAACAGTGTTATCTAGAAAAAAACATTGAAAGATTGGACAGAGATATTTAACGGAAGAAGGACTCCAAAGTGCATGTCGGGAGCGACTAGACAAAGGCATCATTGTAGGTAATTTGACTGCTGCAAGACTATGTCCAAATACTAAAAAAAAATTTAAAAAAAAAAAAAAACAAAAAAAAACAGAAGACATTGGACACAAATGGGAGCAAATATAAACACCACAATTTAGGAATGCTGTATGAAGATAATTAGAACCAGATATCTGTCCAGGGGATTTTGGATTAGTTAAAAAATATATATATACATATATGTATATGAAGCATCAACAAGAAAGGTGAAACGAGCAGCATTTAAACAAGCCTGTTCATCAAGAAAACACAATGAAGAGTTACCTTGGGAAACACAAAATTCCCCCCAACTACACGATGCAAAAGTTTTCCAAAACAAGGCAGCAGCACGTGCTGTGACGTGATCCAGCAAGCCCTGAAGCAGATGGTGACGTTTTCTCCCATAGACTGCAGATGAACTCTTATAATAAAAGCCAAAGTGGAAGAGGATTACTTTCATGTTACCAAAAATTCATAGGGAAGTTAGGTTTAACTCTAAGTTGGGTTGACATCCAGCAGTCATTTTTAAGAGTAGTTAGACACCAAAACCCTAGAGAGCTTTTCAATCCTGTTTAAGAGCGATGATACAGAATCATCCACAATCATAGAGCAGGAAAATTTTGTCAAAGAAACAGAAAAAGTGCACTGAACAAAATACTTCAGTAGAAAAACTGAACAGGTTTAGTGTAACAGAGCTGGTAACTCCAAACCCAGACGATCAGGATGAACAAAAGGTGCCTGGAATTTTTGCTGTTTTTGCACCTGGACTGTAAAACCCCCTCCCTGCCCAAACTTACATAAACAGAAAACAAGCCCTGTGATTTGCTTTATGGTGCAGTTCACCTGTTCTAACAGGTGCTGCCTGGGTTAACAGGCTCCAGGTGTCCCTGCTGGAGCAGGGGGTTGGCCTAGATGATCCCTAGAGGTGCCTTCCAACCTCAGCCTTCCTGTGATTCTGGGACAGGGCAGCAAGGGGAGGTGCTGGAGCCGCTCTTTACAGGACAGAGCGGCAGAGTGCACAGAGCTCTGCGTAGGGCAGGACAAAGGGAAGCCGAGAGCCTGCGGGTGATGTTAAAAGGCAGGTCAAAAGAGGAGACACTGYGGTGGGTGTTTAATACAGGGCACCTGACCAGGAGGGGGCCAGTGGTACCCCTCAGGCGTTAGTACTGGGCCCAGTTCTGTTCATCAGACCCAACCTGGGCCCAACCTGTTCATCAATGACACAGAGTGCACTCTGAGTAAGTTTGCAGATGACACCAAGCTGGGTGGAGGGGCCAACACTCCAGAGGGACCTGGACAGGCTGGAGAGTTGGGCAGAGAGGAACCTCATGAGGGTCCTGCACCTGGGGAGGAATAACCCCAGGCATCAGTACAGATTAGGGGTCAACCTGCTGGAAAGCACCTCCACGGAGAGGGACCTGGGAGTCCTGGTTGACACCCAGTTAACCATGAGTGAGCAGTGTGCCCTCGTGGCCAAGAAGGCCAATGGGATCCTGGCTGCATCAGGAGGAGTGTTGCCAGCAGGTCAAGGGAGGTGATTCTGCCCCTCTCCTCAGCTCTGGTGAGGCCGCACCTGGAGTACTGTGTGCAGTTCTGGGCTCCCCAGTATGAGAGGGACATGGAGCTTCTCGAGAGGGTCCAGTGGAGAGCGACAAAGATGATTAAGGGACTGGAACATCTCTTGTCTGAGGAATGACTGAGTGAGTTGGGCTTGTTTAGCCCAGAGAAGAGAAGGTTGAGAGGAGATCTTATCAATATATTCAAATATCTGAGGGGAAGATGTAAAAAGGATGGGGCCAAACTCTTCTTAGTGGTGGCCAGTGACAGCACAAGGGGTAATGGGTACAAATTAAAACACCAAGAGTTCCATTTCCACATGAGGAAGAACTTCTTCACTGTGAGTTGTGACAGAGCCCTGGAATAGGCTGCCCAGGAGGGTGGTGGGGTCTCCTTCTCTGGAGGCCTTCCAAACCTGCCCGGATGACATCCTGCACCCTGGGTGTCCTTGCTGGAGCCCGGGGGGTTGAACTCCAGAGCTGCCTCCAACTTCAACTATTCCCTGATTCTGGGAATGGGTGCAGTTRGCTATTACTCACTAAATACAAAGACTCAGAAAAGGTCTTAGAATAGCATAACGATTATTACCTGAAATAAATCAAACTAACATAGACATTAAAAAATGCCATGTTCTGGTCAAATAATACTTTTAATGCAATTTTCAAAATCTACTTAAGAACATTAGACATAAACTAATAACGTAACAATTTAGATCTTAGAAGCCTGGTGCCATTGAGATAACTATCCACCTGTCTGCTCAGCCCACAAATCTTTTTTAAGGCCCAAATTGCCCAGTGTCAAACCTCCAACTGTTTTACTTCAGCCATGCAAACTTCCCCTCCTTCAGACAGCCACTGTAAAAACTCCACACTGGTCCCAACCTACTTCACCTTTGATGTTTCCATTTTCTGTTGGACCTCTTTGCAAAGCTCTAGGTGGAATTTCTGTTATTTTTACCTTGTTTCATATAACTCAGCTCTTTAAATCCTAGGATACATAGAGTGTATCTTCATCCTGATACTCAGCAACTAATCTTCCATCTTTCCCCTCTGGGATTCCTGGAAGTGAGGTTTGTATTCTCCAAGCTATACATACGGATAATGTTTCTCTACCCTTTCTCCAAAATTTCTCATCTGCTTTCTTTTGGAATGTCAAAGCACTTCTAATATTATTCCTCACAACTCCTTAACACAGGTACAAAATTCTCAGCTTTGGAAAAATGGKTTTTTTTTTCCCCTTTACCAGACAGCATCACACAGGCCATAATGCCGTAACAGTGTGACTTTATTCTCTCCTGCTCAGAAATATGAAGTCTGAAGCACAAAATTAGATGTTCTTTACCAAATACCAGCAGAGTATTAGAGAGCATGACCATGCAAAATAGTCTGAGYTCAGAGTAGTTTCTGAAACCCCAGATTTCAGATGTTCACCACTTTGGCACTTTCAACATGATATAGCTATAAATTTGTGACCTGATGGTAAAACATTCTCTGTCCCCTATGAGACAGTTTTTCAACTCTATGCTTAAGCAAACTGAAATAGGGAACACAATCATGTGACCACTATTTTCATGCACTCACTCTGGACAAAACCAAAGACACCCCAACCAAAATAAATAGAATGAGCTTATTTACACTAAATGCCGTTCCCCCCAAGTTAAAAAATAGTATGTCCCACCACAAATCAATACACAAAACCTCTAGACAACAAGTTCCTTGACCTAAAATTCTTCACAGCACTGGCTCATATATATTAAAAAAATATAAAAAAGTTGCATATGATGGGCTGTTTATATCCCAAGCCTAGTGCTTCAGAACGACTATCTTTATGACACTCTCTTGCCACCAGGTGTCACTCTTTCCTATCAAGATATCTTGATTTGCTGTAGAAAATTCCAGGCAGGAACAACCAGCCTAACATCATTTCTGGAAGAACATCCACAGCAATTTGCAAAGCTCCTACCTAAAAAACAACTCTGTTCCTTAGGTCAAGGAAACATTTAGCGCTGTGGTAGATAAAGTGCAAAAGATTACCAGCCTCATTTTATATGTTCTCCAATGTAAAATAAAAATACTAAGAGAACAACTGAACTTCTAACTGACATTACAAGAGTTTCCCTCTAAAAAAGGGTCACCCCTTTTTTAATCCTCTRTAACAGAGGATTTCCAAAACTAAAGAACCGTAACAGAGGCACTAGTGGAATGAATTCCATGACTGTTCACTTGGGACCAAAAATAAGGATAGTTTTGGCCAACAACCAGCAAGTCTTTTAAGGATCAAACAGAGCCAAAAGTTTCATCGTTAACTTCTCGTTTTCACAGATTTCCAGTCCAGACAGAATCACTATAGTTACCTAACTAGCCCACCACCAGGAAGATCTGCATCCTCACCCCTCATCACATGTATCTTTGTGGTGGATTGGAATTCCTTCCAGTCAGAGGGCAACTTAGAAACTCCAGGACACCCTGACAGTGAATGCTCTAAATGATCATATTGTTTTTCCTCAAGTGCACTTAAACAGAAAAAAAAAACCCACCAAGAGAAGCCCAGCTACAACTGCATTCTGCCAYATGACCAGTTCAACCATTTGGAAGGGTTTAGTGGCACTCAGGAACTAGGTACCTCTGCATACCTAACTTGGGTCATAATTGATTTTAATAAGCTTCCTAACACAGTATTCAGCATCAGTATCTACTGCACACATGAAATGGGATTCATGCTAACTTGATGCAAGCCAAGCTTAACAGACAAATTAACTATAAACCCACATGGAAGTGTTAAAGGATACCATTAGGATACCACTAGAGAGCCTGTTATTGCTAAAAATCATAAAACACTGTCCAACTAAGACCTTAAAGATCTTGCACGTACTTATATATAAAGTATAGACAATTTAAGACTTTTAAAGAGACAATGCAGACTTTAAAATACTTCTGATGYATAAAATACTAACAGGAGGGAATCATCGTGTTAATGAGCTCCTTGCAAATGCTTCTATTTCATGATCAAATTGCTTTGCATTGTGTTCTGCACATTCTGTTATTATCTTAGGAGACGGCTCTTTCTGTATCATATCCTCTTCTTTTGACATGTATCTCCATTTAATTTTCCGTTTTTCACTGCTTTATTTTCAAAGTTCCAGTCAGTTGGACTGAGAAGCTGCTGAGTTTTTTTGTATGTCCAGTATGGGTTAAGTATTAGTGTGACTGCGAATAATCCCGAAAACATAACAATAAAGTGAAGAAGCCCCAGGTTTTCCATCATGTTATTCCAGTTGGCAATGGACACCCACCACATATGATAAGTGAGAATCATGCGGCAGTGAAACAGGTGGATCATTACCCACTGGTTTGCCTTCCAGAAAAGCGTATTAGCACAGCCAGCCTAAAAAAAGAAAAAATAAACACAGAAAGTTTGCAGAAGTGAAATTGTTGCTTCAAGATAGGGAAGTGACCCCTCTGTAGAACTAATGCAAACATCTAGCAATTAGCTAACCCAGTCTCAGGCATTTTACATGCAGAGCTGTGATAGTCCACAAATACGCAGCATCCCCAGTTCAGAATCAATGTAAGGCATCCATATGCATATAGCAGCACACAGAAAGTTATATGGAGGCCTACAAGACTGTGATCAGATCACAGCAACACAGATATCACATGAGCAGTTGCAGTGCAAAACTAGACAAGACCACAGAGATTTTCTGTGTGCCAGGGAAATGCATAAAAACTGCTACAAATATAATTTGAAATTATCAACTTCTTACCTTTAAAAGCATCCAGGAAATGCAGGTTGAAGGAGTACTCATCTCCAGCAGCATTCCCATCAACGGTAGATAGTGTCCAGATTTTACATTAATTACCAGACCAGCCAAGCCACCAAAAGCAAGGAAGTGATGAACTACCAAGAACACATCAAATGTTCTAAAAGCAATGTTGGACAAATGAACAGCTACATTTTCCAGCAAGAAAAAGCCAGCAGCTATTAAACAGTTAAACCAGCTCCACTGCTGCTGAGAATACACTTTGTCAGCATGAAAAACAGGATCCATGAGCAGAGCCCACAGACCAGCAACGCAGCTCTGAAGGCCGAACACGCCGCGCGTGACTGCCATGTTCCAGAACACCTTCTCCTTTGCATGCAAGGCACGGTACGTGGTACTTATCCATGACGACAGCCAGTGGGACAGGAGAAAAACCCCCAGGTAGATCAAAAACCCAGCAGCTATAAGCGTCAAACGAACTTCCCATAGGAGATAGTCCCAGTCAAATACGGTCCCGAGCCCTGTGTCATCTTTCGTGGGACTCATTTCTTCTTTTCTTTAGGATAAAGCCTTGCAAGGGGCTTGACAGTTCTCATCCATACGCCAGTCTCTCCTTTACACCTCTGCTTTTAGGCCAACCGGAAACCATAAACTCTTCTTTTCCATCTGGAATAATAAGGAAAAAAAATAAAAAATGATTCTTATATAAAAAAATAAAGTCACCCATACGCATAGCTCCCGAACTCCAAAGTATTCACATCAAAGCTTGGCCAAAGGCTTAGTCCTGTTTCCCTTAGCAACACTCACCCCAAGGATAAACATCTAAAAAACTTAATGTTTTTGAGATTAACAGSCTGCAAAATCTCTATCAGCAAAAAGTAATGCACTGAAATGAAAGCAGAAGCAGRCAAAGCAGGAAAGCAAAGGGAAGAAGCATCCTAGAGAGAATCCTTTTTTTCCTATGCATGAAACATTAATTTCTACAGCAGCGTGCAGGCACTAATTACTATTCTTCTACTCCCGAGCTAAAGAAGTGTTTCCCTTCTGGATTTTCTATTCTTTCCTATAGTCTTGGGCACAATCCTGAGCCTCAAACCCAACTCCGGGGCAAACCCGGCAAACTCTTATTGCTGAAGCAGGGCCCCTTTTCCGGGCCGTATCTCAAGACGAGACTGCGCACTTCGGACCCAGACGGAAACATCTCCACGCGTTTTCCCGTGGAAACGCATTCCCGGGAAGCGGCGGGCGGCACGCGCGGCGGCGGCGCCGCTGCCGTTAACGCGGCGGCCGGTGCCCCAGGCCACCCGAGCCGTCGCCAACACGACGCGGTTCGGCGGCAACGAGAGGAGGCGCCGGGACGGGCCCGGGCGCCGGGACGGGGCCCCGCGCTGCCCTCACCCGGACCCGGCTCCCTGCTGCCGCGCAGGCCCCGGCCCGGCCCGGTTCCGACCGCCGCCCCCTCGCACATCCCCGGGGCTGGTCCCGGCCCACGCACCTCGCTCTCGCCCGGGGCGGTGGCCGCGCCGGCCCGAACCGGCCTGGCCCGGCCCGAACCGGACCGGAACCTCCGGCTGCGGGGCTGCTCCCGCCGCCGCCGCCCTCCCCGCGCCGGCGGCACCGCACTGCGCACGCGCGGCGCGGCCCCCGCTGGCGCGCACCACCGCCCTGCGCAGCGGGGGGGAGGGGGGGCGGGCGGCACCACCGGGGAGGGGCGGGGGGAGCAGCCTGTGCTCGGAGTGGGGCCTGCGCTGCGAGGGGGGCGGGAAATTTCACCCCAAATCCTTATTCCTGGCAGCGAAGGGCGCTCGTGGAGCCRTTATGGCTGGAGAAGACCCTCAGGATCATCGAGTCCACCCGTAAAGTCGCCATGAGCACCATGCCTGCTAAACCAAGCCCCCGAGTGCCTCACGTAGYGTTGCTTGAACCACGAACGGAGACTGCACCGCTGCCCCGGGCAGCCTGTTCCAGGGCTTCACCGCCCTTTCCATGTGGAAGTTTTTCCTGACCATTTAACCTGGACCTCATGACCTAGTGACAGGGCTCATAGTGACATGCTGTGGCAAACTCTTGCAAGCTGCAGGGTTCCTCCCTCACAAAAGCAAATTTATTGGAATTTTTGAAAAAAAAAAAATCCTTCAGTCAGAGCTGTTGGCTAACACTAAAAAGGAGAGAAATCTGTAAGGTCCAGGACAGGCTCAAGGCAAGAGCCAAGGCACTGCCGCATGGCAGTGCCTCCTGACCCATGGTGGGTGTCTCCTGGTGGCCTCCATCCCCTGGAGGTGGCCATCCAGCGCTGGCTATGGGCCRCAGGGCACGGGCACGCGTGTCCAACAAGCAGCGGCTGCCAGGCCCCCCCAGCTGCTCCGCCGAGGCTGGAGCTGACGCGCAGGCATCGCGCGGCTTTGCTTCCCCCACTGCTGTTCTCCTAGAGTCGTCTTCAAAAAGTTCCCTTCAACCCCAGCGCCTGGAGGCGGGAGGTTTGAGGTCTGCTTATGAGGTCTACTACATAAGTAGATACTTATAAGTAGAGCTGAGAAGTAGATACTTACGGCACCGAGACGCTGCCATAAAAAACAGGATCACAGAGGGACTCAAATAATCTGCTGTTGTCTTTAGGAGTTTTCCCTCCCTTAGCTGCCTTTCTTGCCTCTTTGGGGGAAATCTGCTATTTTAACCAGATTTTACCAGCCACAGCCGTGTCATAGTGTTTTAGTGTTAATTCTCCAAATCTACCGATACTGCCAGGCTGCTTACTGGCAGCTTTTTAATTGTTGCCTCATTATGATAATTGTGGTTACACCAAGTGTTACAAAATGGGCCTTCCTGCGAGGAGGCTCATCTTTCATTTTCTGTTGTATTCAGTCACTCTGAGAGCCAGTTCRGCTAGATCTTGCGTTATGCCATTTCTAAAGCTAATTTTCCCAACTGCACTGCCTTGGTTTTTGGAAGACTTTCTGTAACTCTAAGAAAATCTCTTCTGGCAGTTGTCCYGATTAGGCTTCTGCTTGGAGCAGGATCCCGCATACCTGGGATCAACCTGGAAACGTTAGGCAAAGCTCTTCTACGTAGCATACTAAAGACTGAATATTGTATGCAGTAGCACTCAGTAGCTCATTTGGTTTATTTGCAAATACATTACCCATTGATGGTTAGAAATAACCTCAGTTTTATCCCTTTATAATTTTTATATAAATTAATGTAAAATAATTTACGTAAATCCTGTAGTCAGTTGTGCTATATATCTCACACAGAATGGTTGAGGTTGGAAGGGACCTCTAGAGATCATCTAGTCCAACCCTCTGCTTCAGCAGGGACACCCAGAGCACGGGGCACAGGGCGGCATCCAGGCGGATTTTGAAGATCTCTAGAGAAGGAGACTCCACAACCTCCCTGGCCAGCCTGTTCCAGGGCTCTGTCACCTTCACAGGAAAGAAGCTCTTCCTTACATGCAGGTGGAACTTCTGGTGTTTTAATTTACACCCATTACCCCTTGTGCTGTCACTGGCCACCACCGAGAAGAATTTGACCCCATCTTCCCTACATTCTCACCTCGAGTACTTACACATATTGATCAGACTGATCCATTGTGACTACTCTTACCACCTTCTTTGACTTGACATGCCTAGAGATGCTCTGTAGGTTGAGATGCTCCATCAGGAGCACCTCACCTTTCCAGGCAGGAAGGTGAGGCTGACCGGCCTGTAGTTTCCAGTGTCCTCCCTCTTGCCCTTTTTGAAGATGGGAGTGACATTGACTTTCTTCTAGTCCTCTAGCACCTCCCCTCTCTCAAAGATGATGAAATRCAGCAGAGCAATAACTCCTGCCAGTTCCCTCAGCCCTCTTGGGTGCATCCCGGCCAGACCCATAGATATATGGGTGTCCAATTTGCCTAAATAATCCCTAGCCCAACCCTCCTTGGCCAACAGAAAGTTTTTCTCTCTCCCAGTTATCTCTCTTTTACCTGGGCTCTGTAGTTCATGGGGATCAGCCTTAGCAGTAGGGACTGAAGCAAAGCAGGCATTTAGTAACTCTGCCTTCTCTGCATCCTCCATCACAAAGGCAYCCACCCTGTTCAGCAGCAGGCCCACATTTTCCCTAGTCTTCCTCTTGCTGATGATCTTTTGTAGATCATTTGTAGAAGTCTTTCTTGGTGTCCCTGACATCTCTTGCCAACTCTAATTCCAARCAGGCCTTGGCCTTCCTCACCAYATCCCTGCATTCTCTGACAGTGTTCCTATATTCTTCGCGTGTGGTCTGGCCACTTCTTCCACGTTATGTATGTACTCTTTTTCCTCATAAAGTTTGCCCAACAGCTCCTTGCCCATCCACACAGGTCTCTTGCCTCCCTTGCTGGGCTTCTTTCTTGCAGGAAGAAGTTAGTTAACTAATTTGAGTTTAAATAAATATGAGCTGTTAGTACTATCAATTGCATGTGAAATTTTCTGCTATTAAAAAGTCAAGACTCTATTGATTTCTCAAAGTGTTTTATCCTTCTATTGCCCATGTTTTGGGGAAGATTGTAAAATATAAAATCACAGATAGACATATTTTACAAACCCATGTACACAAACCCATCTATGCACAGCTTCTGCTGACCTGTCACACAATTTTCAGTGAAATTCCCCTTGAATTCTTTTCTAAGTTTGTTCCTTTATGAGCTCCTACCTGCAGTCTGCATTCAAATCAGTGGGAGCTTTACTATATGCACCCTGCCTTGAGGGACTCCCMGGCAATACCAAATGTGTAATCTGGCTTTGTTAATGTTTCACACAGGCTCGCAAACACTTCCTAGTTCTTGTCCCAACAAGTGCTTATGCACCATTGGTACATGCAAACTACAGCTAGCCCTCTAAAAAAACTGCAGTAATGCCTCTAAAATAAAWAAAAAAAWAATAAAAAAGGCTTCAATGCCAGTGACTCGGGAAGTCTCTACATTACTTAACATCTGCCCTGGCTAGTTTGTTTTGCTCCATATTTGTAAATCAGATCAAGTGTCTGCAAACCACTTTTSTATTTCACCTGTGACCAGTTGTAAATGACAGTCAGCTTTAACTCTCTACTCTCCAGAGCAAATAGTGATAAAAAAATATATTTACAAAGAACTTGTTCTACTCTCAGTATTTATAAAAGTTCAGATTTGCTGAGCTAACATTTGTGGAAAAGTAGTGTAATTGACACAGGCAATTTCTACTTGTTCAAGCCTTTCCAGGTTAATCAACTCATAAAAGAAAACTGTAGATTCTTTGCACAATTCCTTCCAATACTTCCAACACCTTTGTGTTTTTTTTTTTTTTTTTTTTCTCCTTCAAAACATTTCATCAAAATGCTGGAGACACTCAAGTTCTCTTGAGGAGAGCCATGTGCCCCAGTCTCACTAGAAAAGCTCTCTGGGTGCTGTTCGGGGTGCTGAGGCTCCCCATGATGACACTGCTGCCTGGGCATTCCCYGTCCAAGACTTAATTGGACCTCACCACGTATAGCCCTTAGGCAATTTGTCCTTCTGTTTTTTTCTCCCTCCCGTTTTTCTTCAAGGCAAGGTAATCCTACCTTTTTCCCCCCCTCTTCCCCAATTTCTTTCCTTGTGATAAAACACACCTTCAAGCTCTTTCCTGCTTAGCCCAGTCATTTCTCCAGAATCTAACTCCCTTTAGTTCAGCAGGTAATATTGCAATACAAGAGGTGTTGCTGCTTCACCTCTTCTTTGTCTCCTTAAGCTCACATCTCACTACAAAGCTGCCTTATTCTCTAACTACTGCTCAGGCTGTTCTTTATGTCCTGTGTACCAGAAGCACATCTTTTGACTCGCTGTTTAAATATCTTTTATCATAAAGCTTTCCCCCACCTTGTCTCCCTAACTGTACTACAGCTCTGACCAATCTGCATACACTCCTTCATGAGTGTTTTTTTCTCACAGTGCCAGCACCATCGGTGATACTATAACCACTTCTTTCACCCCACAGAAAGAATAGATAAGAATAATACCAGTTATATCAAGTCCTGGATGCAGGTTCCTTGGTTGCTTCTGGGTGGCCTGAGGTAACTAGGATGAAGTGGTAACACAGACTTGGGTTTTCAGCTGAACCTTTTTATTCCTCCCTCACAAATCCACATGTCTTAACAACATTACCCGGAACAAGTTGTTCTGCATTAGTAGTTAGGTTCTTGCTTCACAGCTGTAGTCAGGAAGGGTAGTGTAACTGGTGTTTCAGGTATACCCAGATTCTCCAGTCCTTCCTTCTTGTTTCTCACACAGGTACCTTAGGTGCCTCTTTAGGAATCAAAGAAAATTTTGTATGTCTCCCAGATTACTACCTCAGCCCACCTTTTAGCTATACCTGGAGACAACTGCATAAAGCCCATATGGAAACTATGGAAGGTGAGGTCAAGGACCCCACAGTTACAGCTTGCCAGTGATGGGGTGTAGCAGGAGTGGGAGAGGATGAACCAGCAACATTTCTGTGGCCTTAGTCAGAGATTTAGTAAGTTTAGTCTTGGGGATTTCAGTAAAATGCAAGCA